TTATAACCAATCCCTATCCAAACAGAAATCAAACAAAACAGAACAAACAAAAAACTAAACAAAAAAACATGATACTTATATTTAGTTTGACGTAATTGTCTTCAAGGGATTAAACAAATTAATGAAAGGTTGCCATATCTGAAAAAAAAAAAAAAAAAAAAACTTGTCAGCATTCCCTCTGAGCATAAACTTGATTTTTCTAGTCTTAAAAAAGACATGACATCTTTCAACCAGAGTGTTGCCACTGGGGTTGAGGAGCTTTACAGGAGTGTAAAATTCTGCGTCGTGCCAATAATGAAGTAAAGGCAATAACATCCATCTGTTTTTGACCAAGGTTTATAGTGGAATCCTCAGGAACACCAAAAATCGCCACTTGTGGGCAGGGTTTTAGTGTAATATTCAAAACCTTAGAGAGCACATTAAAGTAAAAAGACCAGTAGATCACAAGGGGAAGGGTTACATCTGTCGTACATATCAACAACGCTGGGATATATATTTTTGATAGTTTTGATTTTGATAAATGAAGTCTGTATACTGTCTTAAACTGAATAAGGTCAGGTCAACTGTGATGTTTGACTGATTGTAATTCTGTACGTTTTGAGTTTCTCCTCAGCCAGACCACTTCCTGCACTTGTTTTCTTCCAGACCTGTTCTCTTCATTCAGTCATTCAGTGGATCCAATAGTCTTGCACACGATGAAGACGTACAAATCCGGTCAGTTACTTTGTCCCAATAATCTTCACCAAATTTAAGACCTAATTCCTGCTCCCATTTAGAAGCAAAGTTTTTTGTTGCGTAATTGCCCAAAGCAGTAACAAAAGTATGTATTTGGAATATAAGGGCCTTATTGTGGGGTTTCAACTCGAAAAGATCCTCCCACAAATGCTTGGGGGGCAGCTTTGGGAACTCTGGGAACATAGAAGATAGAAGAGGCCCTCTGGACAGATTTTTCTTGTTTAAACGTTTTGTCTTTTATCCAAAACACTTCCTTCAGTCTGAGGAGCTGCAAAAAAACTCAGTCTTAATAGCACTTTCTCATAGTGGATCAAACAGTTCGCTCGAGACAGGCAAAACTCGTTCACATAAAAAAGGAGGACTATCACCCTAACAATAGATCATTAGTGCCCTGATGGCCGCTTGCTATTCACGGGACAATTGGATATGGAGGCCTCCGCCCCTGTTTAAAGACTGACAGTGTCTCTTCACAAAGATGGCTTCCTTCACTCCTCCCTCAAACCTCTCTATAAAGGATGTGAACATCTTCATCCTTGAAAGAGTGACCGCTGGCCTGAAGATGAGTGTAGACCACAGAGTCTTGGCCTGATGATGTTGCTCTTTTGTGCTGGTCCATCCTTTGTGCCAGTGGCTGTTTAGTTTCCCCGATTATAACTGATCACAGCCCTCCTGGCACTGAACAGCATACACAATATGACTCTGTGTTGGGGTACTGGATCTTTGGGATGAACCAGTCTTTGTGGTAATGTATTTTGGGGTTTGAAAGCCACAGGGATGTCATGTTTAGAAAATAAATGACTCAGTTTCTCATCATCAAAGTTCATGCTCAATAATCCGACTAGGGTTATTGACAGATTAATATTACAGACTAATAGTCTGGGTTCCTCCTTTTCACCTGATGGCTGGCTGGAGTCCTGTTTGAGCTTTTTCTCTGATTTCAGGAAGGCCCAGTTAGGATATCCAGTTATCCACATTTCTCCAGGGCCTGTCTTGTGTGGGATTTCTCCTTCTGGCTGGCTCCTGAGTTAGCTGTCCGCTGTCAGCTCTGTGGTACAGAGTCCTGATGACTTCTAAATTGTGCTCCAGAGGATAATGGGTGTCAAACCGCGAGTAATGGTCTGTGTGGGTGGGTTTACAACAGGGGTACACATCAGTTTGCAAATGAAATGTCCTCCATCAGAGATTTTACCTCACAATCCAAGAAAGTTAACATGTCATCTTTTACATCTTCTCGTGTGAACTTTATATATTTATCCACAGAGTTGGTGTGATCAGTGAAATGTCATTCATCATATTCTCCTCTTTTTCTCCTACCTGATTTGCCATTCTGACCCAGTCACATTCCTGCTTATGCCAATCGTCCAGTCCAAAATCCACGAATATCCGTCATAAAGTCGTCTGTATTCTCTCTTCCGTGTTCTGGATTCACCGCCGACCCAACCACGTTAGGACAGGAAACTACAACAAAATATTCCATTGGCGGTTATAGTATCAATATTAATTTTTACCGTGAGCATCTAAAATAAACAAACGAGTTGTAAGTGGCGCTCAAGCAGCGCGTCACTTCCGTTGTCGTCATCAACTATCGACGAGCTGACGGGCCGCGAGTGGTTGAAGCTAAGCCATCTTGTCACCAAAAACAGAAATGTAGGTTTAAGCCCTTCTTTGATTCAATTCACTTAATTTTTTTTGTATACATCCTATATTTAATCGGTTCTGGAAGTTGCTATAGCTTTTATTTTCGTCTGTACGCTGTTATAAGAGCTGGGGAGTCTGTGAATTTAGCGCTTCTTGTTTCAGCAGAGCAACGGGTTGAATGAAACTCATGGCGGCGGATTTATTTTCTAGAATGCAGCTGCCTAACTAATAACACAAATAAATACTGTGTACTCACATTATTACAAAATTATTTAATCCAAGGAAGTTTCTAATGCTTTATTTCTTAAATTCATTTAAGACGAGTGGGTTTCGTATTCCTTTTTGCTCATTAGGCACTAATGTAACGTTACCGTATTTTCATTGAACAGTTCTTTCCTTACGTAGTTAGAAGCTTACTGCTTGATCTTATTTCCAACAAACTGTTACAAAACACGCAATTTAAGACGATGTCTATTTTTTTGCTACTTTTTCCCTAAAGCAACGTTATGCAATTATAATGCAACTGCTAATTAATTCACTCGTTGCTGGGATTTGATCTGCGTTTTGAGAATGTAATTTTAACACGAGATACAAAGTTTTCTGCTGTACATATTTTGAACCAGCCACACTGCATGAATGTGTGT